GCTGGACATCAGAGGAACTGCAGTTTTCACACTTACCTAAACTATCGCCTCGATTTCATAAGCACAAAGGTTTGTGTGGTTTTGAGTGATTTTCTGCTGGTTTTGCTTTGTTTTGGGGAATTTAGTCTCCTTTTGTGTCTTTGTAGCTTTGTGTGACTGTGTGACTCGTGACAGAGTTTATTGACTTGTTGTTTTAGGCTTTTTTGTGCCTCTTGGTCTTTGTGCATCACTTTTTAGTGTTTTCATGTCTGTTTTTGTTCATTTTGTGTCCCTAAGATATTCATTTGTGGCTTTTTTAAACCCTTTTTGTGGTTTTGAATCCATGTTAGTGATTTTTATGTCATCTTGAGTCATCTCCTGGTTATGTTTCTCTATTTTGTCTAGTTTTGTGTGGTTTTAGTAACTGTTTGTGATTTTGAGTCATTTTGTGGACGTTTTCTGCTTCTTTGTGATTTTGTTAGTCGTTGTTTTGTTGCTTTTCCTGTAACTGTGTTGGCAGGTAAAAAAGTGGTGCAATGACACCTGCGAGTTCCCTGTGACTGCTGCGGCATGCGGCCTATTGTTTAGTCTGTCATCCAAGTACTCGCCCACGTGTCGCTTGTCACCACATACCCAACATACCTGTGCTTTCATTTCCCAGCTTGGAAAAACCAAATCTCAGAGAGCAACCGACGAAGAAAGGGCGAGGATTATGGGAAATGGAGATTGTTGGCTGGCTCGATGCCCCGATGAAACCATTTTTATTTCACTGGCACACGTCTCAGAAAGCACATCCTGTAAATAACAGAATGAACATTTGCTGGCTTTTTGTTCTTGTAAGGTAATGCTGGAGTTTCCCACAAACTTCTATCCTCCCGAGAACCGAGGAAAAAAACTGTATTAGAGGTGAACTGTTGTTGTGGTTTCCTTCCTCTTTGGAGCTAACAGAGGCCCAAACACATGAGATATCGCTGAAAGCCCAGGATGTTAGCAGGGCAGCTCAAATAAGTCAACAGATATACCAAAAACAATCATCACAGAGGACATGGATGAACAGGCTGTGTCTCAGGAGGCTGTGCAACCAGGAGTGTTTTTGCACCCAGACGAGTCGCCCCCTGCTGGCCGTTTAATTGCATCATTATTCTACAAGTGGAGGAAATGGTCTGAGCTAAATACACAGTGCAGTTGTGCCGCAGGTGCAATAAACCCAGCCGTAGAGCTGAGTGGGCACCAGTGCAGGACCGATGTGCTTTCTGAATTTGCTGGGAGCCGAGGAAGGCTTTGACACATCGCTCCGACGATGGAGGAAGCACTGAAGCAGAAGTGTGATTACTGAGTCTGTTGGGCGAGTACATCACTGGTTACCTTACTGAAGGATAAAGCCTTGGACTGTGTTTGAGATTCATCATTAATATCATCACGTTGGGGTTTTATTCCCTGGCTGCAGTGCTTCTGAGTGACACCGGGCGGTTTTAGTGAGAACGTCTTTGCCAGGACAAGTTTAACCAAACCGACGCATCGGGCATGTGACGGGACAGGATTTATGGTTCGTGCGTATCCTGCAGTGCTTTTCTTTTGACAGACAGAAAGCAACAACTGATAAACAGAACTGATAAGTCAATTTAAGTGTTGGCAGGAAAGACTGAAAACTCTCTGATAACCGGCCAAAAAAGGCTTAACTGTGTCCAAGTCCGGAGGGAGAAGCTGAATTACTTCTGATAAACCATCAGAGCTGCACTGCTGGTAATAGCATCTAAATGCGCCACAAACAAACACACTTAAAGCTGCTTTGGGGCCACTGGGGGCAGCAGTGTTATTGATTTATCTTTGATAAGCTTTTTACCCACGTGCTCAGATGCTCGTGTGCACTCCTTCAGGTCTGTCTGCTGTTCCGAGGAAAACCCCACACCTTCACACGTCTGATTACTGTACTTTCCCTGCAATCGCTTCAGCTGACAGTTGAAACTCGGCTCTCTTTCATTCTGAACGCGACTGATTCGGTCACTGTGAGTGCTCCGTGAGGTCTTCTAAGAATATTGCTGCCCGTGTCTCTCTGATGAGCCTTTCACTTCTCCTTCACGACTTGAACTCAGATGTTAAAAGTTAAACGCTCAACAAACAGGAAAAAAATCTGTCTGAAAGTCAGAACTCGCTCAGAGTTTAAACTCAAAGATCACCTGTGGCAGCAGTAACGCATCAGCACCATCTTCACTCCTCACATCCTCTAATCAACAAGCTCAAAATCAAGTTAGAGTTTTCACTCAGATGCACAGGGCCAGGTGAGGCCAGGTGAGGTCAGGTGAGGTCATGACGGGGCGTCTGCAGTGGCAGCGTTTTGTTCTGTTTCAACTTTCAGACACTTTTCTTTGAGTTTTGTGTCATTTTGGAAAATAAAGAGTGAAAAAAAGATTAAATATCTAAAGTTAAACTTCTAAATACAGTTTAAAAATATTACATGAAAATCTAATCTGATTACAGTTACATTACAGGGTGTCATAAAATGTATGTAATACTCCTCACACAGTCTCAGCGTGCAAACTAAAGACATCTCAATCTGCAGACTCATGAGCAGAAAGTCCACTGTGAGCACGCTTGCTGTGCACATATATGTGGAAACTGCTCCATCTAGTGTTCATTAATGGACCGACGTGTTTATTCGGTTTGAAGATCAGAGCAGCCCATTTTCCTCAAAGCTCTGAAGCAGCTTTCACAGTTGGTTTGGATCGATGTGTAGGGCCGGACCAGACCGACTCAGCCTCACAGAGTCTTTCTCTCCGTCACACTTTACAGACTTGCTTCTATTTGATTTCATGACACAAAAATGACACCAACATTATTATTACGCCTCTCTAAGCACATCTGAGCAGCAGCTGTTACTCGTCACCATTTGTACTCATTGTTTTCAGGGTCCTGGTTAGGACAGAAGTCTTTGTCTGGAGGTGGTTTCCCAGATTATGTTTTTGTGACAGCCAAACAAGCCTACGAGATAACTGTTTCTTCTTGCTGTACATATCAGTGCTTTGTATGCAACCCCCCTTCAGGAAATACTTGTAAACCAAACATCTCCTCTGGGAGACGACTGGCTGACTCAAACAGAGTTCGGGGGGGGAGGGGAGGTGTGGGTCAAGCCGTCACATATCTTTGAAATAATCCTCAATCGTTCAAACTGAATTTGCTCTTTATCTCCTGCAGCAGTTATCTCTCAGAGCGCAGGCGTACGGTGGACGTGTTTATGGACCTCCCCTTGATCAGAGTGTGGTTCTTGGCGAGCGGTGATTGGCTGCTCTGTATGTCAGCAGCGGGCGCGGGCGTACGCCTCGGTCAGAGCAGAGCGCAGGCAGAGATAAAGTCATCGAGCTTGAACCGCAGCAGCTGAAAGTCTGGGTTACGCAGCGACACCAGCAGCAGGATGGGCTCCAGCAGCTCCAGCAGGAACAAAATCCCCAA